TAGTTATTCTGATGAAAATTATGGTTATAAATATATCATAACTGTTATTATAGATACATTTTCAAAATTGTACTGGGTTTTACCTACCATTCAAAAAGAAAGATGGAATTAATGTTTCAAAAGCATTTGAAAAAATAATAGAACAAGCTAAATTACAAAATAATCAAGCACCAAAATTACTTCACGCTGATAAAGGTATGGAATTTGAAAAAATATTTGCAAAAATATGGTATTCATATCTATCACGCACAAAACGAAGAAAAATCGGCAATAATTAAAAGGTTTAACCGAACATTAAACCGGAAAATGAGAAAGTTAAAAATTGCTTATTTGAAACTCCTATTTGATAGTTCAAACCATTTTTGGTGATATGTTTCACTGCTTGATGGCGTGGGTGTAGAATTTGGATTACGGGAGAATTGTGTGATTATTTTTTCCGGATTTCTACGGTCCGGGACTATAAGTCTTTGTATTTATTCTTTCCGGGAGAATACGGTCCGGGAGTATACATTCCGGATTTCTACGGTCCGTGAAAATACGGTTCGATTATTTTTAAATTCCGGAATTATATGGTCCGGCATAATACGGTCCGAAAAATATTTTATTCCGGATTTCTACGGTCCGGGACTATACTTATTTTTTCCGGATATATACGGTCCGTTAGATTATTTTCCGGGATTTTACGGCTCCCCCTACTATTTAAACAACAAATTTGTATGTTGTCAAACGGAAAACCTATATACTTGTACACAATATAAATTATATTAGTGTAATATTGAGGATGTTTTTTAAAAATTGTAATTATTTATCTGTCTTGTTAATTAATATTTTAATCAAACGAAGACAAAGGATATTTATCAGGCCGAAGCGCACCCAATAAGCTGTTTGCAGTGAAGCATTAGTTATTTTTAACATTCTCCAAGACCCTGACTTTAAACCTAATGCCTATGCTCGCTTAACCGCCGTCTTTAATGAGTTTTCAGACTGTATACACTTAACTGTCGATAAAATTAAAATTGTGTTAAAAAAATATGTAATTTTAAAGTGTTAAATTACTCCTATTTTATGTTTATAGTCAAGTAGGTATATAGCCAATAGCCATAAGTAATAGTAAATAATATGATATCATAATTCATAATAATATACGAACAGCAAGTATAAAACCATTTTCATATTATATTACCTCAAGCCCTCAACCATTTATATAACATTAGTAAATACCATAAAATCTATAGTATTAAAGTTATATATGGTATAAAAGTTTTATTCTACACTAAATTTACAAAACTAGATTTAATTTTCTTGATGACTGTGCCATTCCATCAATGACTTCATTGGGTTTCACCTGTATTGTCCTATGAACAGACAACAATGCCTATCTAAAAATCAAGGCAAAGGAAAGCTAGAAAAATAACTATATTAAATTGAAAAATAATATAAAAAAGGTGGGCAAGTGGATGCCACTCTACTGTACAGTAGTTTACAAGTGGGTCACTGTATAATGGATGGTATTAAATTTGAATTCAATGATATAGGTAATATCATTGTAAAATAAAAACGATTCTCAGCGGAGACAGTATGTCAGTCTAGGTACAACTGTATAAAACATACTATATACTTATCTATGTTATTAAAAAAAAATTGATCTATGATAGGTAGGTACCTATAATAAATTCTAAATTAATCATATCACAATATCCATTAACATCAACTACAAACCTTGATACTATCATAGATATATTATAATAGTATACTTTTGAAGTTTAATAATATATAATAATTCAAATAATATTATACAATCACAACAAAATAACTAAAATAGTTATTCAAGGTTTTTAATATGCAATTTCGTCTAAATTTGAACTTAAAATTACTATAAAAATAAACAGTGATTATGTATTTTATTAGATTTTTTGGTAACAGAATTTACTACAAACGTGGAATCTTGTTTTAGAATTTTTAATCCTTAGATATAAAAGTTAAACATTTTATACATTTTTAACTAAAAAATAATTATTCAAATTTAAATTTTGATAATTTTTGTCAAAATTCGATCTTTAAATGTTTAGAAAAAAAAAGCTGTGCATATGTATTTTAAATATTTTTCAACTGCTATTGTGACAATATCAGGGGCCTTGTACTAAATTTTTACACTTTTCAGCCCAACAGATGAAACTTTATTGATATTCATAGAAAAAAAAAAAAATTGAAATTTTAAATTGTCCGTAAAAAGCTGAAAACAAATCAAAATATTTTGAAAATTTTATCAACTATGAGAATTGATGAAATTAACATTCAGTAAAATTTTCATGTATCTACAGTTATCGTTTTTGAATTACAACAAAATAAGAAAATCGCTACATGAGAAATAGAGTGAATATCCAATGTTGTACAAATTTGAATTTTAAACCCTGATATAAATGTAATTTGACTTTCTTATAGACATTTTTTTTTGATAAAGATAGATAATCTCATAAGAAATCTTGTATTACATTTTAAAATCTTAGATTTAAAAAGAAAAATATTTATGAATTTCTAACTCAAAATAATTTGCAAATTTTCATGATTTTTCAATATTTTGTCAATTTTTAATTTTTTTCATCTGCCTCTGAAACAATATACTATGAGCCTTCTATAATATTTCTAAGCCTTATTAACCAACAAATAACATTTTATTGATATTTTTAGAAAAAAAACTAAAAAGAATGGAAAATGAAAATGTTCCTAAACAGTTCAAAACAAATCATAATATTTTGAAAATTTCATTGTGTATAGAAAATACAAATATCAGCAACCAGTGTAAATTTCATGTACCTATCTACGCTCATTTGGTTGAAATGTTACACCAAAAACCAAATTCAATTTTGTGAAAAATCGATTTTTCGTAAAAATAAGCCTAAAACATTTCCATCTATAATATAGTTATAATATAATATTTTATGTTAATTTGCAATATAATAACTAATTTACAGTTACTGACTTTTATTATAAATTATTATTTACTAAAACATAGTTAATATTTGGATTTTTTTTTAGATAATTGATTTTACAAAATTGAATTTTCTTTAACTATGTGGTTTGAGAAAAAATTAACTTATCGTGCCAATATAATTAATTAACTCGTTAAGTTACTGAATGACATGAGGAAAAATGTAACTCGTTAAGTAAAAATTTACTTCTTTGGAAATGAAAACACGAGTTGATCAGAAAATTGTTTTTTTATTTTATTTATCGTGATTTGCGATTATTAAAAAATTATCTGTGTACCAACCAAAGGACCTACCACCCAACATCAAAGAGGTAATACTGATCTTGGAAATGCTATCTGTCCTTTCTATGTGTTTTGGAAACGATAACTGAAAAACCCTAAACCCACGTATTTTTAGTTAAGACATTTTACTACTTAAAGATACGATAAATAGTAATTAATACATTTATCTGCTTATTGTATCTACTTAGATGTATTATTAGATATAATAATATGTTCAATAAGGAGGATTTAAGTTCCAAGCACAAAAAATGTCAACCCTCATCCATAACCTAAAGTTTTTTCAATCATATTCAATATTACTTTATAGTAGTGCTTCAGGCTTCAGCCCCCCAAATCTCAAATGCTATTTGCACTAATGGGTACAATAGAAACAATTTATGATTATATAATTTTATAGATCCTTGATATTATAGAGTAGGTAGTAGGTGCAATACACTTAATTACATAAATACCACACGACATTTAAAAGTATAATTTTTTTTACTTAAAAATAAACAAGAACAACAATAGAAATAATTTATGATTGACATATATTAAGAGCTGGGACATTACAAGTTCAGGCAAAGTATTTGTAGTTTTATTAAATATATTTGTAGACAATGTATATGCCATATTTCTTCTAATTATAATATCAATATAATATGTAACTAATTGCAATCATATAGAAATACAAAAAATGCTAACTAGTAATTTCTACTAATAATATTTCTCCTATTAGTATAATATTATAATCTGTAAGCTGTAACCAATTCATAGTATCCATTAATACACATAAAAAGTTTCAATTTCTATCGTAAATCTCAAAATCTTTGTGTGAGCACTTTTCGAGGTTGTAGCTGCCAGGTCCAATTTATTGTAAATCTAAACCATTCAGGGATGCACACAAACACACAGATAAAATGTCATCAGTTTAGGAGTTCAGTGACACAATTTCTCTCAAACCAATCTAACCCATAAAACATTGAGCAAATAATTATCAAGAATTAGCGTTAGATTTTAAAATTGCAAATAAATATTTTCAAATAAATACGTGACAAAAATAAAGAAAATATGAGCCAACTTCGAGTAGCCCACTTTTTTTCATCCACACTTTCAAAACTGGTATCAAAAATTTTATTCAACTACCTAGGCTTTTTAATAAAAATTCAACTAAGAATCTTTTTATTCAGATTAGATTATTTATTAATTCAGGTCTTTTATTAATTTTTTATTTTTTATTTAATTTCTATTCTTATACAATTAAGAATATATTTTTATTTGGTTTTCTTTATTTATATTAGATTACTGAACACGGCCCAAGATAATCAAGACTATATCCATTGATTTTTAGATTACCTGAAAAGTTATCTTCTTGTATTTAAGCAAGATATATAGTCAGTTATTTAAATTCAATTATTCATTTTATAGCAAAAAAATGTACTAACTTTTATTGTAAAATCATATCTAAATTAAAGACAATTGATTTCAGTTTTATTGTTTACAAAATGAAAAAAAAAATATGAATTATAAATGAAATCAAATTATGAAATACTTATTATTAATGATAACATTAATGGTTAATGATCAGTTAGTATTAAACATACAGAAAAACTTAATACATATACATTATAATTAATAATTTAAATTATGATTAAAAGTACAAAATAAAATTTTTCCTGGTCACAAAAAATAGAAATATATTGCAAAAGGTTTCTCATGTAAAGAAACAAATGAATACTATACATTTAATTTAAAGATCGTTAAACTGTTCACTCAAATAAGCTCTACCTGTTCCAGAAAAGGGAACTTCAATTACCTTAATCTTAACATCAGGCATCAAAGTATCTAACAATTCCTCTAGAGCAGGAACTGTATATATATTAACAAAAACTGACTTGTCTTTTTCTTTTTCAGGAGTAGCCTCATCTCCTGGTCGCTGTCGGGGCTTTCTTGTTCTGCGTATAGGTATATTGTTGGTCGTTCCTTTGGCATGGGATGATTCTAAATTATAACCATTATTATGTGGGTTCTGTTGAGATTGAGTTAGAAATAAGTCTGTATCAAGGATTAACTCATGAGTCAATCCCCAAACGAAGTGTGTTAATGTCTTGGACAGTTTTTTGAGACAGTCTGATTGACTGTTACAGATAGAAATTGGGGTCTAAAAAAAAAAAAAAACATCAATATTAATAAAAAGATGTTGTAAAATAATATAATACATAAGAAGTTACATACTCCGTTCACATAAGCAGGAATAATCAGTAAACCTTTAATACCATCACATTTTTCCAATTCATCTTCGACACAATTACTGAATTCTATGTTTACCAATTCCAGAACATTGAGCTTTTCAAGACCTCTAATGACAGTAAAAACATCATGTGCAGATTGATCCCATCCATTACAGCAATTTTCTAATCTCAATGTTTTCAAATTGACAAATCTTTTTAGTGACATGGCAAAATCCTTTGTTAAGCATTCGCAATCACCAATTTCAAAAAACTCAATATTATCAGTAATAGTATTCAAACTCTGATAGATCTCTTTTGGAAATTCTTTAATAGAGGTTAACGACTAAATAATAATCATAAAAATAATAGTAGTAAATATAATACTTTTCTTTCCTTAAATATTTTAATTATATATATAATTAATTATTAATAAACTTACAAATGTATTCAAATTTATTAAATTTTCAAATGATGGCAATGCCGTCAATTTTATTCCAGTTAAACCTTTTAGTCTTAACTCCGTGAGCTTTTTCATTTGTCCCAAATAATTTAAGTTTAGGTACATTAAATCATTGAGATTGTTTGTTTGATTCGTCAAATTTGGATTTCTAAAAATAAAATTAATTATTGAAACTATTGAAAAAAAAAATGGATTATATTTTCTTTATTACATTATTGAAGTAGCTTTAAGTACTTCAATTTGAGGTAATGAGTAAATAATATCTTCAACTACAAGGACAGGACATCTATACAATTCAATGAATTTTAACTTTTGAGCAGATTTCATTGCATATGCAAATCGTATCCAAAAACTTTCGAAGTCTTCAACTTTAGAGGGTATCAACATACCTCTAGTGTCTAATTTATCAGTTATTTGTTGATTAATTGAGTCTACAAACCTATCCCAGTCATAGACCATAGAATTGTTTAAACGAACATTCTGCCACTAAAAATATTTAATGAATAAGCAAAAATACATGATATGAAATGTTAAGGTTATACTTACTAAGTATTTGTTCATTGCAATTAAATGCCAGGTGTTACATACTCTAGAAGCTGATAACAGCTCATGTGTTTTCAAATATTTAAAAACATGTCCCAATGCTTTAACCATGTAATTTAATGATTGCATTTTTACAAATTCATTTAAAGAACCATTCATTTCAGTATTCCTGTGAAATTTGATAAAAAAAAAAAAATTAGGTTTATAATTATTTTATTGTACTTGAAAGTATATAAAGACCACTAGTTTTAACATGCAAACTAAATTAGGTCTCAGAATATGTATGAAACAATTAGTAAATAACAAATAGGGGTTGAAAGGAATATAGAAATGCAAAGTTTCTGCTCAAATCTGAAAACAAACACAATGAAATGATTAAAGTAGTAAAAAACAAACATTTAACATACACTTATTCATACAAATAAGACCAATGACCAATGCTACTGTGTGTCTGGTCCATTATTACATTCCACCAAAATATATGGAAGATATAATATTTATTTACTCATCCAGATTTTTAGGTTCTTGAATAAAACAGGTAATCAAACTGGGTCATCGTGTTTGTTTCATTTCATAAACGTGCTGCTCATGAAAACTACCAACAACCATTGAAGTTTTGTACACATTTCCTTGACAAATAACTTTATTAATTATATCAGAGTTGCTTTTATCACTATACTCATCAGTTTCATAATGCGTTTCTTCAGTTTTAGAAATAGATGCTCTATCAATAAATAATTAGGTGTGTCTGAAGCATGGTGAACCTGTCGTATACGAATCGGTTTAACACGTAGTTGTTCTGGTTCAGTAGCACCAACAATCACAGTATGAGAAGACTGTACACGTCTATTTCTGTGTCGCACAGACGCACAGTAGATTGACAGTTTTAAATAAAAAAAAAAAGGAAAAAGTATTATTGTATTAAAAAAATAAAAAAAACTATAAATAATCACTTACTATACATACATAACTATCAATTTTTAAATTATCATTTAAATTGACACATGCTGGAAGATAGTAGACCAGACATTGAGCACACATTAAAATGGCATGTTCATCATTATTTAGGCACCGTAAAAATCACAAGGTGTCTGCATAATGACTACACCATTTGATGTTGACAACCTATTTTTATCCATTCAAGTATATGGTTTGATTGAGGAAAGATTATGAAGGAAGCATAAGGATAACAACCCCTTAATTTTGCGTTACATTTGTGAAGCCAAATAATAAACTTATAAGTAAAAACTGTTTAAGCATAAACAATAAAAAAATAAAGCCAATATGTTACCGTCTTTTAATTAGTGTGTTATTTATATCAATTTCCTCAAGTTTTGTAGAAGAAACGGTTAGTGATGCACTAGATTGAAGAGCTTGACCGTTTTCAGATATGTATTCAGGTGAAGATGAAGATGTATTCATTGATTCTGAAATACCTAGTTGATAATGTAAGATGTCAGTTCTGTATTTAAATTGCACAATAAAACAAATAATTATTTATCAGATTAATAGGCAAATAAACACACAGGGAGTTCCACCAAATATAAAATTATATTGTATGCAATTGTGAATTTTATTTTAATTAAATATTTCACATTTAGATTGACTTTTGTGTGCATTTTAGAATATTACAATGAAATGCAGTATTATTTGAGATAATGCGACTATACCAATTCACAACTGCAAGTGTCAATTGCAATAGTCAATACCAATTATTTGAATTTGGTTTATTTAATAATTTATAAATATATATTAAGTGTTAAACAAATTAAAATTGAATCCAAATTTTTTATATGGTACATACTCAATTAAAATTGAATCCCTATTCACAATTCATAAACAATAATAAAATAGTAAATGAAATATATTTACTTTTACCTTCTTTAGTAAGAACTATTTTCATTTTACTTAAAGACTTGTTGTTTTCATCATCTGACAATTCATAATCAAATTTTGGCCGGTGTACAGGTGTCTCAGATCTTTTAGGTCTAACCACAACACCAACAAAAGATTCTTTCTAAAACCATAAAATGTATGAAGGGAAATTGAAAATGACTCAAGTAATATTTATTATATTTAAGTTTATATATTAATAATTGAAAAAAATTAGGGATGACAAACTTATTTCCTAAACTCTAACTTAAATCTTGTTATGTGCAGTGAAATTCCTTTACAATCTTTAATTCTGGCACAACTTTTTAAGTTGTAAGGGTTTCAATTTTTAACAAAATAGTTTTAAATTATTATTTATTAGTCTAAAAAAAAAAATATTATCAAAAAACCAGACATTGTTAATGTGACATCAAAATGTGTGTGAGGTTGAAAAATAAATCAATCTATTCTTTTCTTTTACAGAAACAATATAAGCTATTAAAACCATTTAAGATTAAACATCAATTTTTCTCAGTTCAACATACTTAAAGTTTACTATATTTAAGGGTTTTCAGAATTTATGAAAAATCAGGGTGGAAATAAAAAATAATTTACAAAGTAAAGCTGATGAATTTACATGTGTTTTTTAAATTGTTATTAGACAACCTGCTACAATAAACAAAAATAAATAAAAATTGTTTTCATTACTTTAGATAATTTTGAATTTGCATCTCTGATAATTTCTTTAGATCGATCATTAATGCCAATTGGTTGTTTTAAAAATGTAAAACTTTCTATGGTCAGATTTTTATCAGCTGACATGTCCAATTGTTCCTGAATTTCTCGTAATGATCTAAGTTTTTGGTTAGTTGGAGAATGATAGTATACATCACCACTTCTACTTCCACTTCTATTAAGAATAGTAGATTTTCTGTACACTAATTCTCGTTTCCATCCTGAAATTTATTAAATACAAATAATACCCAAAAATAGATCATTAATATTATTTACTTACCATACTCAAATGGCAGTTTATAAATATCATCACAGATATTAACATTTGGTTTTTTATTCGAAGCATGGCGTATTCTATTGTTAGAAGTGGTAAGGTTGATTTTTGGAGTAGTAAGTTCTAAAAATGTTAAAAATAAATAACAATTTGATAAAATTATCTTTTTTAAAACCAATCTTTGTTCTTTTAAAGCAAACCCTGTACATATTATGAAACTAAATGTAAGAACAACAAAAGATTAAAATATAAATAATTTGGTTTTTTTTTTTTGAATATTCATGTTCATTATAATATATCAAATAATGATGAAAAAACAATGAGGTGACGAGGCTTGGAATTTGCGCTCATTCAAAGCCAATGGCAAGTTAATAGTTAATTAATTATAATTGAATTGATGTTTTAGTAAATTAAATAAAGTTTAATTAAAACGTCTAAGAGAACATTTGTGTAAAACAGAAAAATGAAATGTTCAGGTGTTATACAATGTTTGAGTGTACAACAATGAACATAAGATCATTAAGACTTAAAGCTAGCATCATAAGAAATACTTTTTAAAAAGAAAATAATAACTATGGAAATTAATTTTGAGGGTGTATTTATATTGAGTGCAAATTAATTGGATGTATTTTACTTGTTTTCCATAAAAATACTGGAAGATTTTGTCTATTCTCGATATATGTATTATACATTTGTGGTCACTCACCTAAAGTAGCGGGAACTTGTCAATTATCATCACTACGTAATGCCCTTTTTATGCCTCTTATTACTCAAATTGTTCTTAACATCATTAGGTTCTGGTGATGATACTATAAATCAATCATAAAAATAATACATTATTATTACACATTCATAATCTACATGATATAAAATATAAGTAAATAAGCAGGTTTACTGATAGTCTTTATAACTTACTACTTGATTTAGACAGTTTCTTTTTATTAACATGATTATTATTAACAATGGATGGCTCTTCTACTTCCATAGTTTCACCTGTTTCCTTACTTAGTTCCATTTTTACCGCTAAACGTGGTCATAAACAAAAAAAAAATTATAAAATTTAAAATTGGTACATATTTAATTTTAAGTTAAATACAAAAGCTGTACAAACATATTATAGACAAAAAACTTACATTTTTTCTTATTTTCAATAACTATCAATACATTATCATCCATATCAAATCCAATTAAATGTTGTTCTGGTTTATTGGTTTCCTAAAAATAAAGAAATTCAAATTATAACTTATTATTTTTAATTTATCATATTATAAAATCTTGCTATAATATTATATTATGATAAATACTACAAAAAATGTTGTATGTTATTTATAATATAAGCTAATCTAGACTAAATTTTTAGTATGTAATTAAGTGGTTTTTATATAAAGAATAATACAGAAATTAAGCACATTTTATTAGGATACGTTTTAAGTGGGTAAGCTGTATTATATTCACTTTATTTAGTAAAATTAGTTAATGTTAAATTAAGACAAATTATTATTTTTACATGCTATATTGTTAACCTTGCATGTAAATCATAACTTTTACACTGAAATAAGTGCCTTGCAAAAAATAAAATACAAATTATACTTACCATTAAGTTATTTTTTTTTTAAAAAAACCACAATAATTAAAGAGACAAATAACTTAAACATTTTGAAAAATATAACGGATAAGAAAAATCTTTTGATGTACAGTTGTCAGTACCATAGACATATATAATAACTAGATAGCCGACTTCCTATGGTTTCGCGTTTCAATAAGTGAGACGACAGCCATTTGCGATCAGCCAATGTTAACATTCAACAATATAACCTCAAATTTTTTATAAATTAATATATCTATATATTTTAAATATTATTATTATTACTATTATATATAAGTATAATTTCTATCAACTTTTTATAGGTTAGGATTTTAGATGTTAACATGTTAGTGATACTAACATAGAAATAATCATCCATATATTCTTAAACAATGTATTACAACAAATATTGAAATATTGAAAATACATATAAAATTTCTACATGGGGGGGGGGGGGTACCTATGATACAACAACTATAGATCCATTAAAAAAAAAACAAAAAAAAAAAAAAAATACTAAAAATTATCCCAAAAAAAGACTCAAGATACCACAAAAAATATTTATACAAGGTCATGAATGTACTACTAATAAAAATATTATTTTATAAAGTGTTAGTACTTCACATAATTATAAATAACCTTACTTTTAAAACTGAACACGGGCATAATATTAGACAAATATCTAATATCAAAGTACCAACTACGCACAAAAAAAAAACACAATCCACATAGTTATATATCGGTCCAAGAATTTAGAATATACTACCAGCAATGAAGCACAGCAGCTCTTTAAAGATTCTTAAAAAAAATTTTACACTGGCTATAACAAGAACAAAATATAGACAGATTCATAACAGTATACGATTACTGCATTATTTATCATATTAGTTGTACGACTTAAGTAATTATTGTTAATTTTAGTTTTATATTACCATACCTATTATATTGTATTATTTAACTACACAATTTTTTACATAATACTATATAATAATATTTTATTATATAACCAAAGAGAAGAAAATATATATTATTTACTTATATTAATATTATAGCTATGTAAGAAATGTAATTATTTAATTTATATTTAAAATTGTGAACTCATGGGACCCCACACAAACATGTTCAGTGAGGCCCATTATGTTCTTGAAGAATAAATAAAAATAAAAATTATAACATTGAACATATTGTATAATTATATTATAGATCTATTTTTTGCTCATGTGTTTCACAATGATTGTGATCTGGTTTACTTACAATTATATTATTGTACATTTAATTTAATAATATATCAGTATATAGTATTTACAAGTTCATATTCATGTTGATTTGATGTAATTGGCTCTCCGCATCGTGATACATTAGAATGTTGAATAGTTTGTAAGCGTCTTATAAGTGGAACCCCATTCCTAAACTGCCGTTTTAATGTCCAATAAGCGATTAGTCGTTGTACAAACTGGCCTTTTTTGGGCACTGACAGTAAATTTGCTATTTCAGCAACTCTAAACCAAATTGAAGTATTTTAATGTATAAGGTAATAATATATTATACTCTATTTCATATAAGAGTAACCTCAGGCGGCAGGCTTCAGCATATGGCGGTGGCAATGAGTATGACTAATATGTGCAGACAAGAGTGTCACTTTATTCATTTAACAAAAACCTAGCATGTATTTTGTACAGCAATTTTTTAGCTAATCGGTCAATCGGTAGAAATGAAAGCTGGTGAAAAAAATCTGTTTATCAATGAGTGTGGCCTGATAGAACCGGAAAAAATTGTATGCCGCCCAATGTTACTGTTTACATAAGTGAGACAGAGTATATAGAAACATTACCTTTCTGGTGGTATTGTAGGTATCGATATGACTGGACCAGTGGAATGTTTTTTAGCTAAAACTTGTCTGGCATTATTTAATTTTTCTCCAGGTGATTGTCGTCCTTTGTTTTCAGCTAGATAATCTACTGGTGCATGTGCATCGCAAAATGCAACTTTTTGAACTAAAACTGTACCTGGTTCAGCATCTCCTAAAAAATGTAAATTAATCAGTGATAGTCTTGAAATGTATTCTTTAAATGTTATGGGTTATGGATAATGGAGGAAAGATTATCCAGTGCCTAGATATGATTAAATCACTAAACACTAACAGAAAAGCGAGGGCCTCTATCAGCGAAAAAGCACCCAACTGTATGAACGCAGTCGCCCATCTAACAAGTAGTGTGGATGTATACAATATAATCGGTGGCCGATGAGGTGTTAGATTGTGGCCGCCTCAACCAGACTGTTACACAAACACTCTTTACATTATTTTATGTATTTATACGTGTGTGTGTAGACTAACATCCCATGCATCAACTTGGGTGACGGCAGCAACCGCTTTTATCGAGTGTTGACAGTGGTGGCAGCACCGGACACAGTTATTAAACTACAATAACTACAATAGCTTATAACATTTTAATATTACAGCAACGTACAGCAATTCTGGCATTTCATGCAAGTTTTGAAAAAAAAAATAACCCAAATTTTCATTGATGAAAAGTATCTTATGTCCAATTTCAATATAAATATTTTAAATCAAAGTAAGCGATTAATTCAAAAAGTACCATTGTAAAGTAAATTAATATATTTTAATTTTTGAAAATTACAAGTTAGGTGGCCTCATGAGCCTCACCCCCAAAACTGCCACCGATTAATATTATAATTTACAAAATAGTTAAAAAAAAATTCAATGTACTATTACCGATATTAGAAATATCATTAGATATAGTCTCCATTTTCATATATAAACCATATTGTTGAGCACATGTGACATGAAATGCGGCATAGCAACTTGATTTGTGGCATTGAATACATGCTCCTACACCACGTTGTTTACAAATATAGCATGTAAGTTTCCATCTATCCGTAGGAATTGTTTCAACGCTATCTATTGGTTCTAAAAACACCTATAGAGTACAAATTTAGTATGTGAATACTGTTTTAATAAAATAATCAGTTCAGTTTTAAGTGTGACTTACAGTATTTGAAAACCTAACTTCTGGTATCCATAACGCACACACAACATGAGCCCATAGCTCACGATCAGTTTGTTTGAATGCACCACAATTATTGGGGCATAATACACAGTTAACTATACGTGATGGCGAGTGCAAACATCGCCTTCATACAATAATTATGCATTTTTAACGATAAGTTATTAAATTTTATATCAAACTTTATTTTACATTTATTACATACCGACAAAGCCATTGTCCTTCAGGTATATATGGAACACCATAACAATCTTGATGGACAGCAAGATTGCACATATCACAAAATAAAATGACGTTTGAATTTTGAGATTCACCAACGAGACAAATAGAACAAACAGCGTCATCGTCAATGACTGCTAAACTACTAGCAACTTCTTTGTTCATTTGCTATACAAATAAGTTAAATAATAAATTACAAATACCAAAAATTGTGTTCAATAATATTTGACACTACAAAATAAACAAACCACTTACTACAACAAAATACGATTCTTTCTCTAAACGGTCCATTAACAGCTCAAAGGACTCAATTGATATTCCTGCCAAGCCTGAAGATTCCCTGCGTTCATTCATAATTTGCAGCCAAGCAGCATCTTGTTCATCGAAATCATATTCAACTTCAGTATCCAATTCTTCAACCGACTTTTCAATAAATCTAAATAAATTAATTAATACATTTTCCAAATTTGTTTATAAAAATATAATAATGAATAATAAATCTTATTTTTAATGAACCTTATGTATGAATTGGGCATAGATGGAGCTTGAAGTATATGGTAACTGTCTATTTCTCTAAATGCAGCTTGAGGTAAGCTTTTAACAGCATTTTTAATTTTTGATAAAGAAGAAAGTATTGCAGCTGTCTAAAAATCAAATAATATATTTGACACTATATAATTAAAAATTGGATTATATAAAGACTTACTTTGAAAGGGATTTTAATATCTTTTTTTTGTTTTAAGTAATCATCTTTTGATATTATTGGTAAATATTCATCAGCACTAAATTGTATCATTTTATGATCAGCAACTTCAACTTCACATAAAGTTTTTGATAAATGAACAGGTGTTATAGCTTCTACCACTTCAGGTTGAGATACTCGCCTTCCTTTCTTTTTTTTACCTACATTATTAAATTATTAGTTACAACTTACAATCATCCTTAAGAAGATTTTTGTTTATACTTTTAGCTTTACTGACGACTGGAAAAACAATACTTTGTTTGTTCGGTGCAACCATGTCTAATGGAGGTATAGGACTCTCGTGTTGAATGTGAGCAAGGTGATATTGAAAACCAGTCATGCTTGAGTATACTTTGTCACAATCAGCTACTGGACATTCATATGGAGGTGGTTTCAGGCTATGTAGCTGACAACAATATTGGAGTACATCAAAGTCTCCCATTTTGGTTTTTCCCCTAACACAACTTCATCAAATATAATATGAAAATTACACAATTCCTACAAACTGCCATGAGTCAATCACAGCAGACCTGCATCAAGGGAGCCCTCAGAAATATAAGCGGAGGGGGAAGTCAAAAGTCAAGAGTATAATACGGTGGATACTGGATACATATAATTTATTTTTTACAAATAATAAAAAAATTAATACATATTAATTAAAATAATATGGATTATGACCTAGGTGACCATATGGTTTTCATACCTCTAAGACAGACTGTTGTTCCCCAAGGAATCTTCTAGATACTAAAATGTCCCGTTTTCTGAAGGGAAACAAAGAAACAACGAAAAAAAAATAAAAATTTTGAGGCGGGTGGAACTGAGTAACAGAAATTACTAGGCTATAATGCAACCAGATTAAATATCAAGATTAAATTAGATGACTTAAACTAATTCTTGCTATCAAAAGAGTTTTGCAATTATAATTACCACTAAAAGATTATTTTTTAAGCAGCATAAAAAGGGTCCAACAGTTTTAAAAAATTTCTCTGAGTGCCTAAATTCCAAGTGGTGACTTTTTTTTTGTACAGTCAGTTGGTGACTTTTCATACAGCAATATTACAGATTGAAGGTTAGAACGTTTCAGAGATTGGACTATTGGAGCTGCCAAAGTAATCTTTGATTTATGAACAATATGAACAATTTAAATTAATAACTAAGTTCTACATTTCTCCTATATTTAGTCCATCAATTACTCTTTGACATGCAAAAAAAAAAAAAAAATTGATGGGGAAGTTCAATACTGTTTGAAGTAAATTACTTAGGATCTTAACTTTAAAATGTCTTGTCCAGAATTAACTCATCCCCGAAGTGTCTGACTTATAATTACTAATTATAAATATGTCGAAACGGTTAATATACTAATAACATGTAATGTTCTTCATAAAAAAAAAAAAAAATTGTTTATAAGAAAAATGAGTTATTAATTAATAAGTGTAATTAATTTAGTTTAATTTTCTTGCTACATAAAAATATAATAGCGTTAAATTTTGTTAAAGATTATAAATAAAAAAGGTGGGCAAGTGGGTGTCGCTCTGCTGTACAGTAGGTTACAAGTGGGTCACTGTATAATAAATGGTATTAAATTTGAATTCAATGATATAATATCATTGTATAAGAAAAACGATTCTGAGCGGAGACGGTATGTCACTCTAGGTATAAGACATATTATATACTTATCTATGGTATTAAAAAAAATTGACCTATAATGAATTCCAAATTAATCATATCACAATATCCAATAGGTACTTATAACGCGCTATACACCAACAACAAACCCTGATACTATCATAGATAATATATAGTAGTATACTTTAGAAGTTTCAAGTACCCACGATTCGCGAATAATAATATTATACAATCACAACAAAATGACTAAAATAGTTATTCTAGGTTTTTTAATATGTAATTTCGTCCAAATTTGAATTTAAAATGTCTGTAAAAAATAACTGTGTTCATATACTTTTTAGATTTTTTGGTTATAGTATGAACTATTTACGAGAACCTTTGTGTTGAATTTGCAATCCTTAGCTATAAAAACTGAACATTTTATAATTTATTAATTACAATGATTGATAATTCTCAAGATTTTGATAAATTTTGTCAAAATTTGATCTTTAAATGCTTATAAAAAAAAACTGTGCCTATGTATTTTTAATATTTTTCAACTGCTATTGTAACAATATATCATGAGCCTTGTATTAAATTTTTACACTTTTTGGCCCAACAGATAAAACTTTATTGATATTTATAGAAAAAAAAACTAAAAAAAATTGAAAGCTGTAAATGTCCATAAACAGCTCAAAAAGAGTCAAAATATTTTCAAAATTGTATGGTGTATAGAAAATGCTAATTTAAACATTCAGTGAAATTTTCATGTATCTACAGTTGTTTGTTTTTGAATTGCAACAAAATAAAGAAATCGCTACATGAGTAATCGAGTGAATATCCAATGTTGTAAAAATTTGAATTTCAAACGCTCATAAAAATTTAATTTGACTGTCCGGTAGAGATTTTTTTATTGATAAAGGTAGATAATCATATAAGGAATCTTGTGTTTCATTTTCAAATCTTAGATTTAAAAAGAAAAATTTTTACGAATTCTTAACTCAAAATAATTTGCTAATTTTCGTGATTTTTCCATATTTTATCAATTTTTGAACTTTAAATGCTTATAAAACAAAATTGTGGCTAAGGATTTTTAATATTTTTCATCTGCCTTTGAAACAATATATTAGGAGCCTTCTATTAAATTTTCAAGCTTTCGCAACCAACAAATAAAATTTTATTGATATTTTTAGAAAAAAAACTAAAAAAAGATGGAAAATGAAAATGTCCCTAAACAGTTCAAAATAAATCAAAATATTTTGAAAACGTTATCGTGTATATAAAATGCAAATATAAACAACCAGTGAAAATTTCATGTATATACGTTCATTTCTTTTAGAGTTACACCAAAAACCAAAATCGATTTTTTGGAAAACTGATTTTGCGTAAAAATTCCCGTTTTTCCTTAATTTTTATGTTGTTTTTCCTGGCGCTTGTGAAAACTACCTGGAAATTTTTACTTTTGACCCCCCAAAGTACCAACTAAATTCACTTTCCTATCAGAAAAGCTACTGTTGAAGAAAATCCAAGCACTTTTACTGTCCTAAAACGTGATGACAGACACAAATAAAAATAAAAAAATATAAAAAAAAACACACATCATTGTAAAACCAATACATTCATCGATCCGCTCAGAATCTAAAAAAGTTTTAGGTAAAAAATATGAAGAATTTTGTTTGTCCCGTTTTAGCCTAAAATATAATATATAGTCATCTTAGACATGCCCCCAAAATCCAGTTTCTGGCATAGTAAACAAATGTATCTAGCTGTGACTATTCCTTAAATAACTATTTAACAATATAAATCTCATTCTAATATTATGTACGTAATCATATAATCATATAATAGACGCGCCGCGTAAATATAATATAATAGTAATACGCGAGCGTTGCTCGCGTAAAAGTCAATAATAGTAATAATAATAATGTCGCTGGCACCATGTATACAGTACGTGTGTAGTGGAGCGACGACAGCATATATACAGCGCGAAGATAATAATATCGAACCCATGACCATGAACAGCGCGCGGCAATAGATATATGATACGTATATAAATAATTCTAAAATACTGTGAACTAGGATTTGTGCTGTTATACTAAATGACAAGATGTTATCTGATGACATCCGGCGCGTGCACCGACGACCGGGTGACAAATCCCACAATAGGCCTAACCGCAGGATGACCATGTATGGTCATGTGAATCTGTGGAAGGGACTGGAGAGACCCATCGAGGAGAGCTGATGGACAAGCGTTCATCAGACGAACAACCAGCCTCAACTTGAACAGTCTCTAAATACTCACTAGTCACATCTCGCTTAAGTCAATACATAATTATTCGGACTTAGAATATTTTCATAAATAAATACAATAAATATCATCAAAGAGTTTTTTCAATTATTACTTCCATTTCTACAAGTAACGCTGTTGAGCACGTTACACAAACATAAAATACAAATTAAAGTTATATACCTAGTTGGGTACACTAAATAGTACCTATAGACATAATATAGTAATAAGGGAACTTACCACAAAATATTTCTAATGGTTAACCGTTGACAATAAAAATCACTACATATTATACGAGCATTTAAAATCAGTACCTATAAAGTAGGATGTTTAATTTCATAAAAATATTACATTACACTAAATCATACTTTCAAAAAAAAGTTGTATAGTTATTATTTATTATCTTAACATATTATCATAATATTTTTATCATGCATTCATTCGTGTACAGCCGGTGCCGAAATAATAAGACATGTCACTGTGCATTTAACTATCAGATATCAGATATGATATGATACCAAGAATATATGATAACAACTAAGAATTTTTTTTCATTTGAATTTTGTTTCTGATGTTTATTAATTATTTTATTGAGTACTAGGTAATATACTAAAGAACGGTGGAAGGTTTAAATCCTAAGGTACATGCTAAAATATAATATATGATATTTAATATGTATAATGTATATGTTTTTGTGGATGACATTTACATTAATCTACATGCTTAACATTTTTTTGTTAGTATTTACTATTAATAGCTTAGTAATAAATTCGTACTTTTTTCACCTTTTATATTTTTCTATGTTATCTTAGCTTAATAGGCTTAAAAGAACAATTAACTTGCACAGTGTGAACATTATATTTTCTCTCCACATACGACATCGGACATACTTAGTATAGCACATTCCATAATATCAGTAGGTATGTTTATAATCATAGACCTTAGTACATCCCAGTTTAGGAATTCTGTTTTGTAATTTTTAAAATCTTTTACTTTTGTAAATTTTAAGATTAAGTACTCATTTATTTATTTAACTAAATTAAACAATGAAACAATTATATAATATTATTTAATAGAACCATGGCCAACAAACTTTTAAAACCCAACAATTTAAAGTTTATGTCAAACATGAATTGTATATAATATTTTTTACTGTTTTTGTTGTTTTTTTTTTTTTATTCTTAGTTTTATTAAACTTAACTATGAATTAAATTAGTATTCATTTGGGTGTTAATGTCCCTATTTAATGTGATTGGTTATAATAGCATGTCCCATGTACAAAATCAGTTTTATTTGTTAACTTATAATTTGTATAATTATGTACCATGTACATTACATTTGCTTGATCAGCATGTTGTAATGGTCTTGTTCTCAGAACCATTAAAAACATTTTATTCTCACAAACTCCTATAGCAACTATACGATTGTTTTTTTTTTAAAATATACAGCCATCACTGTCTGTCACCATTTTTTATACCTTTGTCAAGGAATGCTCCACACGAAAACTAATTTACCTTAAGATCAGGTACGTGAGTCAGATGACTGTCAAC